CTTATTCTCTAGAAACAAAGTGTAAAATCTTCGATCTCTCGGAAATATCGATGGGTTTAGAGAGATCGAAATAGTCATCGAGGCCTCGAAACTCAACATTAGATAGGCGACTGACCTCGAGCCCTCGGATATTCCGCTCGGTTTCGATGGTTCGAAAAACTGTAGTGGGTTGGAAATTTAAGTTTCGATGGGCTAGTCATTTCGAGGGATTGGAATTCCGATGGGGCGCGTCCCCTTGAAAAATATTTCGATCCCTCGGATAGGGATATTCGGAAACTTACGATCCCTCGCCGTACCTATCGAATGAGTTATTTTATCTGCTTGGGTACGGACGGACGGGCGGACATTTCGTTTATTTGACCCAAGACTTCCAGTCAAGGGAATAAGATTTAAAAAGCGGTCTCAATTTCGAATGGATATATTCTCTCGTTTCTTATAAAAGTAAAATGTGGTCTGAATTTAGAATAGAGAGTTTGTTCTTTTCACATACTTTGTACACTGTTTATAATTTAGAATCACTTTTTAATTAGGAATGATTGGCTACTGTACACGCACAAAAAAAGTTGGACGGTTATATTTTAGGTTCATACTCATCATCATCTTAAGAATTAGAATCATTATCTAACACAACTATATAACGGTAGCTTAAAGATCGTAATGTTGCTTGATAATCTTCTGAACCCAAGGGTCCATTAAAATAACTCTTCGTTGCTTCCGTTAGGCGAAGATCATTATTCACAGTTCTTCTCTTTTTTCGACGTGTGGTATGTTGTTGTGCTTGTTCGTATCGTGACGTTGTCGACTGTTCACCTTCCTGTATGTAACGGATCCACGCCCGAAGATGTGGATGTATTTCACAATGTCTAAATAACAAAAAGTCTTTTTGTCTCAAAGGTCTTTATTGCGAGCACAGATAGGATACTTACGACTTCAATTACCCATGATAACCTTCGACATGATTATTGGTACCTGGTCTTTTTCCAATCAGATCAAAATGACTCCAGAAATCTATCAAATACCTTGGTTCTTCAATATACGTTTTCAACACATAATCAGTCAATCTGATGCATTTATCACCGAGTTCGAAGAATGATTCTATTATATTTGAAAATGCTTCATTTATCTCATTTGAAGGTAATAAGGGCAATGCCGTCAGATTAGCCACCTGTCGACGTGCGTTGTCATTATTTAGGATTAATTTTGTTAAACCGTACTTCTTGATCTTTTTCCATATGTTTTGTGCAAAATGGAAATGAGAACCTTTCACCCTAGCTGTTGGAAAATTACGCGAGAAAGCATTCCATGAAGCAACTTCAAAATCAATTAAAATTGACTGTGGACTTAATGCTACATTGTGTGTTGTTTGTTGAATTTCTAACGATCACGTTGAACAAAAGCATAATACTGCATCCGGATATGGATTCACAATTGGAATCAGTAATATGGTTAGATGTATCAGAAAATCAAAATGAAGAAGAAAAATATGCACAATATTTAAATGTATTTAAACAAATTTGTACTTCATTGACATTACATTGTAATAAACATAGGAATGATCAAGAATTGATAAATCAAATATTTAGAGATAATCAATCAATATTAGAACTATTAACTTATACTGGTGATTATTGTTTAGCATTTAAACCAGTTGATTTACATCCAAATTATTCTTTAAGACGTTTAACACTTTCATTATCATGTCTTTCTTATTTATTTTTACTAAATCCCCCCCCCATG